GAAATGTACTGGTGAGCACAGTGCTACTGTTGAAACCAAAAGGAACAGAAATGTACTGGTGAGCACAGTGCTACTGTTGAAACCAAAAGGAACAGCTGAGGCAAAAAAGTGGGAGATAGCCAGGAAGTCTGTCTGCGTGCGTGCGTGCGTGCGTGTGTGCGTGTCTGCGTGCGTGCGTGTGTGCGTGCGTGCGTGCGTGCGTGTGTGTGTTTTCTGAACTCTTGGGTAATTCGATTTAAAAATGAATAGATTATCTTTAAATTTTTGTTATGAGGGAGAGTCGCTTTCAGATCCAAGATTGTCTGCCTGAAAAACCCAAGAAAATAATCTGAAAACTCTTGGATTTAACAATAATAAAGAGGTCAGTGAAGAAATGTACCAACAAGTCTGTGGGTCTTATATGCTAATATTAATGGCTACTAGAAAATATCATGGAAAAAGCTGCACATCAGTGAAAACCAGCAGCCACCGAAGGAGGGAGGAATGGATCTATTGCTCTCCAGAAAGTCCCATCTCCAAAGAATTTTTACTATGTAAACTGTCTGGGTCCTGGGAAAACTCTCTCCAGAGTGTTTGTCAGAAACAGTAGCTTTGGGGGCTGGGGACATAGCTCAGTTGGTGCTTGCCTCATGTCCACAAGGCCCTGGTTCAGTCCCCAGCACCACCGAAAACACAACAAACGGTGGCTGTGTATAATCATAGTCCAACAATTAAAAAAAAGGAACCACTCAGTGGCAATTAACACTGCAGCTGCCTGAGTCCAGAGACCACTGGGACCAACAAGAGACTGATGGACACTTTAAAGGAGACCTGCGAGGAAATAGTGAAACACAGATAGCCACGAGGGGAGAAAGGCAGGAGGGACTCTCCTAAGGAAGTCCAGACGTTGGACTTGAGCAGAACACTAGATCAACTGTGTCACCMAAGGAATCCAGGGTGCTTCCCCGGCACCACATAAGAATAAATAAAATAAAGGTATTGTGTCCATCTATAACTAGGAAAAAAATTTTTAAAGGTGGGGGGATTGGGGTTGTGGCTCAGGGGTAGAGCGCTTGCCTAGTGTGCCTGAGGCACTGGGTTTGATCCCCAGCACCACATAGAAATAAAGAAAAGGCACTGAGTCCATCTACATCTAAAAAAAAATATTAAAAAAAAAAAAAGGAATCCAGGGTGTTGTGCTGAAGAACTGGAAGGGTGGTCAGAAGGATGCCTCACAAAGCCATGTCAACAAAGGCGGGCACAGCAGGAAACCTCCTGGGGCTCAGATTCAGTAAGTAGAACATGAATTTCAGTGGAGCTTAACAGACACTGGACGGACAGAAGRACCAGTCCACGAGATAATGTGTCTGAGGAGCCCAAAGCCACAGCCTGCAGAGGAAAGAGCAGGCACCAACTCCCAGGGGAGTCTGAGGAGGGAGCCAGGAGAGCAGCACCAGGAGAAATACTTCAGGAGCACTGAGCAAAAGGTTGAAATCAAAAATCCAGATTACAAAAAATTACCCCAAAAAAGTTTAAGATAGAAAAAATAGAAATAATGAACAAAACCACATTTGATAGAAAACTTTACCCACTAAGAAAACTCAAGGAGCTCTAAGTAGTGTAGACTTTAGAAAGAGCCTTGTCTGGGCACACCTCGTCAAGCTATGAGGGAAGGCTCCTACCAGCCCTGAGGACGAGAAGGCTGCTTCCGGGTCAGTCGCCATGGGTCCACCAGGAGCAGAGTCCAGGAGGACGTCTCACYCGACAGCAAGACGAAGGCGCTGTCAGACCCATGGGTGGTGATGGAACCAGGACCTGGTGCCTGCAGGAAAGTGCTCTACCTCTGAGCTACTCTCCCAGCCTCTTTTTTTTTTAATCATTTTGAGGCAGCCTTGCTAAGTTGCCCAGGCTGGCCTGGAACTTGCAATCCTCCTGTCTCAGCCTCCCAAGTAGCTGGGATTATAAGCATGCACCACCACACCAGGCCAGATTTTTTTTATAAAAATAATTTATTACTGGCCAGCATGCCCTGTAAGAAATATTGAAGGGTGCCTCTCACTTCATTGTCTTTGCATGTATTTATGGTCTTGAAGCACTCTCCATGGTGTCTGCTGTAGTCTGGAGGGTGGGGGGCGGGGTCCAGTGTCATAAAGCATGACATGCAGAGTCATGTCACGTCCAAACCTCAAGGCTGCCGCGTGAGACCTGGAGCAGGCCGTCATTCTCTGCACCTCCTGGTGCCTGTCAGTAAAGTGTGATAGCTGCCCTGCTTATCCAAAAGGAAGTGCCCAGGGCAAAATGAGACCCTTCCTGGGCTGGCACCCAGCCTGGGACCTCTGTCAGGCGAGGACAAGCAGCCTCGGCCTCACCCGCCAGCAGTGCTGTTCTTTCCTTTGTGCTCTGTTCCCCTTCCCCACAGTGACCCTCTGGTTTCCCTGCCCCTGGCCACATGTCCAAGAACCAGTGCCTCTCCTGCCCACCCCCTGAGGTCAGAGCTGTCACCTGGTTCCTCCGTGGTGGCTCCATCTGCACAGTGCACCATGCAGCGAGCCAGTGCTCTTGGTGGCTATTCCACTCATCCCAGCACAAATCTCCTGCCTTCATTGTCCCACCCCACGGTGAAGCTGGGGACACCAGCACTCCAGGTCCCTGCCTGTGCCCTGGCCCTCCAGGGGGAGCTCGATCCAGTGTCTGGATCCCATTCTCAGCTTTGTGGAAGTGGAGTCAGTGGCTCCTGCTCCCTCTGGCTTCTGCGCGGACGTCATGTTTGTGAGGGGCAGGCGGTGTCTTAACAAGGTGAGACTGAAGTCTGGGGTGCAATGATTGGGACCAACCCTGGCCAGAAGTGGCCACGTCTACACCCCAGAAGCCCTAAGACCAGCCTGTGGCACAGTGTCCACCCATCCCTGTGCCACACCCATACCAGCGCACCCCATCCCTGCCCAGGACACCAGGCCGGCAGGAAGGACTTCTGCCCAGAGGCCTGCCTCCTCCCAAGACCCGCAGCCTGGTTTCTCCTCCCCCAGAATTAACCTCCTCCCCAGCAGCTCCACTGAGGATCCACAGGCCAGGCAG